TCTTTCTTGTTCAAATATTCTTGAACTTGATTTTGTGACTTTTGTTGATTCAATTCAAGCTTCCTCTCTACTAATAATCAATGTAGAAATAAGTCTGTAAGCCTGCTAAAACATCTGAATGTGTCCTGCTTGTTCTTTAACATATAAATAAATAAACATTAAACTCAACCATCCAGAACAGATTTCCTCTGAGACTCACCAAAGCCATGGAAAATCTGCACCAATAGGCAGATCTGAGGTCAGTTCTGGTCACTATTTTAGGCACATTTTCATCTGAAGCAGGGCTCTGAGGCTTAACATCTAATGGAAACTTGAACTGTGGACATGTTTATAGAGGCTGCTGAGTTTAGAAACCAGGAGATGGGAGAAAGATCCGTTCTTTTTGACATGAGAGATTATAAAGGAAATGCCTAAAAGGGGTTGAAAGCACTTCACCTTTGACCTTCTTGTTCTTCCTGATAATCCTGTAATATGTTGTCTGTTATGTTAAAGTAAAGGGGTTTTTTTTGGGGGGGGGGGGGAATCTGACAGTCAGATTGTCTGCAGGTGAATTTTACTATAAACCAAGAAAATAAAGGAGTGTCTAAAAACACATCTGTGACAGAGGATGTTCAAAAAACGCGACTGTATGTGGACGCTCTTTTAGTCCGTTCACTGGAAGGCTATGGCATATAATAAAGAAAATGTGATTGTGAAGACAAGTAATTATTTAATACTTTTCAGTAATAACACTGACTGCAACGAACCGCTGAAACATGAGACAAACAGGATTACGAATGTAAGAAGATATGTTGTTCCATTTTGTTTACTCAAGTAAAAAGAATAGCATTAAGATATTTCAAGAACAGTAGTCGAGCACAATAACTTTTAAAAATTAGACACTTCCTAATGCCTGGAAACGATTCAATCTAAAACTGCTCATTTCCACTTGCTTTATAATCATTTGCTATTTTGTTAAGTAAGGAATGACAAGAAGTAAGAATTAACAATAACATAAATATCAATAAATAAATGTCAAAGAGTAACTAAAACAAAAATCTTATTTAACCATTTAAGGTTAAACTGTGTTGTTTGTCCATCTTCATGTTTTCATGGTGGCTGAGCGGAGAGCTGACCAGGAACAACGGTGGTGGCAAATCCCAGTTGGGTCTGTGATGGAGTGATGCACGCCTGGAGTGATTGCCATCTCATCCACAGTAAGCACACACTCTCTTTCCATCTCTGTCAGACTTTTAACCATCAAACTGAGCATGTTTCACACCTCTCCTAACACACCTGGTTCCAGTTATTGGGCTGCATTTGTCTTTGCAGGGCTCTCACATCAGGCAGAGGGATACTCATGTCCTGAAGAAACCTGTAACCTGTTGAACCCACTGAAAAACAGAGCTGTCCGGCCTTTTTGATTGTCTGTTTACTCCATTTAATGCCTCTTGTGTTCTTCGTGCCTTTTTGATTTTCTATTTCCTCCCTTAGGTTTTCCAGCTGGGTTCCCCGGTTGCATAGCCTGTTCCTTTCTCCTCCTGGCCCTGACGCCGGCTCCTCATGGCTTCCTGGGATGTCCCTCTCTCCTGATACCATCTCATGTCCCCCCTCACTTTCCCTCATCTCATTTGCCTCACTGCTGCTGCTGCTTTCCTCATTCTCTGAAATTATAATGGCACTGTTAGAATAAAGAATAATTTTTAAATAAAATAAATACAAATGTCTAATATTTCAAAAGATTCGTACCAGTTTACTTGAGTACAATATGTGTGGTCACTGGTCAGCGGATCAACATGCGGGGTCCTCCTCCTTGGTTCAGGGCGATGAACAAACATGGTTGGAACAGCATCAGCCCTGAGTCTCGCCTTGCCTAGCCTTAGTAAACTGTTCTTCCTCAAAATGTGCCTGTAGAGTGGTGTAGTAGTTTATTTCCAGCCACATTTAACTGTTTAATTGCAGCCTTGTGCAGTTGAGAGCAGAACATGCAGAGCCTTGATAGAAGACATTTGAGAGTGCACGTTAAACTCACTGGACACAGCCTTTTGTTATTGTGATCTCTGGTCATGGTGAGGTTGCTCCTGCTCACTTGAGCCAACCATTTTCTTCTTCTCTCTGCATCTTTGGGGAAGCCATAATTATGATTCCTCCCTCAGACTGATTGCTATATGCAGCGCAGCCAACCATGGTAAGATAATCAACCTATAAATTTATTATTAAAATACTATTTTTGTACGTATAGAAATATTGAACTAAACCAACAATATAGAGATGTAAAATTAAATTTTAAATTTTTATCCAACCCTAAAATTTGTGATTTCAAATTTTAACCCACGGACACATTTTATTTTAATAATAATCAAAATAAAGTTATTCAAAAGAGTTTCATTAGGTCTTGAGTACATTGCTCATAATAAATGATTCTTCTTCTTCTTCTTTGCACATATGTAATGACTAAACATAATGTTGGTAAAAATGCTTTATTAAAAATGCTATTATACATGTTGTACAAGTGTGGTATTAATTTTTTCCACAATTAACACACTTTTTTTTATCTACTGTTTGGCCATACGGTTTTATTGAAATTCTTTTTTATTAGTTCAAAGATACTTTATTAATCCCAGAGGGAAATTTGAGTTTCAGTACACATAATTCTGAGATCAGACATACATACATAGGCATAGACACATGACAAGAATTGGTGACTGTGGTCATTCGCAACCCGAGCCGCGCTACCTTAATAGAGATCAGAGGGTTTACATGAGGATCGAGTCAGGTGGAGGAAAAAAAGGCACTTCAGAGTTACCCTCCCACAAGGAGGGCAGCTTTGCTATGCAAAAAACACCTCAGACAGAAAGCAACAGACTTCAGACATTACACAACATAAGTGTCCACTAGGTGGGGAGGTAGGGTTGGGGACTCTCCACATCAGTGCATGCAGCCGCAATAAGCAGCGCTCGTCACCTCCGTTTGGCCAGAGGAAGGAGGTTTTTGGGCTTAGAAAGCACAGTGACTCCTGGAAACGATTCAACGGCCTTCACCAGTCGCAGTCCCGCCCAGGCTGGGATAGGGAGACAGCGTTACTATGGCAACGGCAGCATTCCACATTTCTTCTGAGGGGGAGTATTCACTTCAGCCTCACAGGCTCAAGGGCACCAGATTCAGATAAGAACTTGTTTTGGGGCCAGACAGAGATAATTTCCTTTCTGTCTTAAAGTTCTAATGATCTCCAATCCCTCTGAATCCAATAATGGCGTAGTTAATCTATTCCCAACCGTGCTGTCCCGTCAACTTACTCCTTGATCGAATCCACCTTCTGTGCCAGAGTCTGAATCTCAGCCAAAGTTCCAAGCTTACGACTCATCTCGACAATTATATGAGTTTGTGCGTTCACAGCGCGGTGTATTCCATCCCTGAGCTCCGGGATTGAGCCAATATTCCTCAACCGCTCATTAATTTTCTGGTAAGCCAGGTAACCGCTCATGCCAAACAGCACGAAACCTGACACCAACACCACGAATATCCAGACGTCTTCAGAATCTTCTACAGACTGTTCAGAGAAGCAGATCAGGTTCCACTGTTTCCAGGAGTCCATGATATGCCCAGCTGGCTCTGTCCCAGAGGGGCAACTGGGAGCCCCTTCTCCCGTTCTCATCATTGAAAAAAATTTTGTCAATCGCGTTGAGAGACCAACTGACCAGGTCCATTTTTAATGATTTCCAGTTTCCAGAAAAAAATGCAGAAGCACCGTACACCCAAAGACAGACAAAGAGCCTTGGGATAAGATAGGGAGGAGAGGAGGAAAAATGCGTCTGAACTCTCCAAGAGCCGGAAGAAAAAGGTTGCTATTAGTCAGGCTATAGAAGCCAGATAAACTGGGTTATAGATGCATGTACTGTCTTCACATAAAAATATAAAGCAATGACTGTAAAATGTATTCTACTGAACATAATAGATCATCATTCAAAGCATAAACATCTACATATGTTCTTCAAGGTAAGCTGGAGCAGAATTCTAGCTTTCAATATACACTTTAAAATGGATATTACAACTCGAGTTTAGCGCTTGTGTCGCATTACTACATCAAATTTATTGCTATAATATATTATAGTAATGTATGTGGTCCAAATGTGTTCCACAGTGTGTTAGGACTGTCGTGTTCCTGTAATGTAGAACAGTCATGGGTGTCTGTCTTCTTACAAATGCTCTGAAAATAAATAAATAGGCAACTTTGTGAAGGAGTTAGGACACAATATATAATATAATATATAATATTGTTCAATAATTACCAAAAATCGCCAGGGGTGTCACGTTTAGGAGCAGGAGGTTTGGACCCAAGATGCAGAACCCAGGATGACAAGAGGCAGGAGTGGATATGTAAGTAAAAATCCTTTATTTGGAGGAAGAACAAAAATAAATCCAAACGGCAGGGAGCCAAAATCCAAAAATCCAGGGAGTCAAAAAGCACAAGAGGGACGAGCAGACTGACAGAACAAATAACGCTGACAAACAACAATGGACCGACAAGAACAATGAGACAAGGAGAGCTTATATAGACAGGGAGGAGCAATTAGGGAAACAGGAAGCAGGTGTGTGGAGTGAGGCTGGAGGGAAGGCAGGTGACAACAATTATCTGGATGGGGACGAGAACCAGTGGAGGGCAGATAAACCTAACACTATGTAAAACACAAAACTAAACCTAAAGACTAAGGGAAGAACTCACACAAACACATACACATACTGAGACACACAAACTATGAACTGGGGAACAAGAGGCTGTGGCTATAACTTAAGACACACAACAGAGATGCAGACAAAGGACACATGAGGGCGCTAAGAGAACACAAAAGGGAATCCAGAGAGGGATGGAGAAACATTAGGAGACACATGGGGAAAGACGCAGACAAAGGACACATGAGGGCGCTATGAAACACAAAAGGAGAACCTGGCGTGGGAACTGGAGGGCTGGGGAACAAAGGGACACAGAACATGACAGTACCCCCCCCCCCCCCACCCCCCCCCTAAAGGGCGTATACCAGACGCACAAAACCAGAACAAGACAAAAACATAAACAAAAGACAAAGACAAAACAGGACACGAGAGACCACAGGGCGGGAGAGGAGGGCCCGGACAAAAAACAACCCACAAGGGTGGGCGAGGAGGGACCAGGGGACACTGGGGGGCCGGCGACGGGGAACCAGGAGGCGGGACCAGGGAAGTCTCGGGGGCCGGCGATGGGGGACCAGGAGGCGGGACCAGGGAAGTCTCGGGGGCCAGCGACGGGGAACCAGGAGGCGGGACCGGGCAAGTCTTGGGGGCCGGCGACGGGGAACCAGCAGGCAGGACCAGAGGAGTCGTGGGGGCCGGCGACGGGGAACCAGGAGGCGGGACCTGAGAAGTCTAGGGGGCCGAGGAAGGGTCTCTGGAGACGGGAATTGTGACTGGAATACTTGAGACTTGGGAGACCGGAACACTTGCGTCTTGGAGACTGGAACTCTCATGACTAGGAGACCTGAGACTTGGGAGACTGGAAGTTGTGTGGGGAGACTTGAGGCTTGGGTGACTGGAAGATTTGTGGGGAAACTTGATACTCGGGTGACTGGGAGACTTGTGGGGAAACTTGATACTCGGGTGACTGGGAGACTTGTGGGGAAACTTGATACTCGGGTGACTGGGAGACTTGTGACTGGGGTGACAGGAACACTTGTGACTGGGGTGACAGGGAGACTTGAGACTGGAACACTTGTGACTGGGGTGACAGGGAGACTTGAGACTGGGGGACTTGTGACTGGGGTGACTGGGGGACTTGAGACTGGGGGACTTGAGACTGGGGAGACTGGGACACCTGAGACTGGGGGACTTCTGACAGGAACACTTGAGACTTGGGAGAGTGGGACACTTGAGACTTGGGAGAGTGGGACACTTGAGACTTGGGAGAGTGGGACACTTGAGACTTGGGAGAGTGGGACACTTGAGACTTGGGAGAGTGGGACACTTGAGACTTGGGAGAGTGGGACACTTGAGGGAACTGAGACACTTGAGGGAACTGGAACACTTGTGGGGACACTTGTGACTTGGGGAACTGGAACACTTGTGGAGACACTTGAGGGAACTGGGAAACTCGAGGGAACTGGAACACCTGTGGGGACACTTGTGACATGGGGAACTGGAACACTTGTGGAGACACTTGAGGGAACTGGGAAACTCGAGGGAACTGGAACACCTGTGGGGACACTTGTGACTTGGGGAACTAGAACACTTGAGACTTGGGAGACTTGAGACGGGGACGTGGAGACTTTAGACAGGGGCGTCGACCCTCGGCCTGGGGGCACCGGAACGGGCGGAGCCTCTTGGACGGGCTGGACCGGAGCCTCTTGGACGGGCTGGACCGGAGCCTCTTGGACGGGCTGGACCGGAGCCTCTTGGAAGGGCTGGACCGGAGCCTCTTGGAAGGGCTGGACCGGAGCCTCTTGGAAGGGCTGGACCAGATGCGATGCATCCTCCGGAACCACCGCCGGGACAGGATGCGATGCGTCCTCCGGTACCACCGCCGGGACAGGATGCGATGCGACCCTCGGGACCACCGCCGGAGCAGGACGCGATGCGACCCTCGGGACCACCGCCGGAGCAGGACGCAATGCGACCCTCGGGACCACCGCCGGAGCAGAAGGCGATGCGACCCTCGGGACCACCGCCGGAGCAGGGGGCGATGCGACCCTCGGGACCATCGCCGGAGCAGGAGGCGATGCGACCCTCGGGACCACCGCCGGAGCAGGAGGCGATGCGACCCTCGGGACCACCGCTGGAGCAGGAGGCGATGCGACCTTCGGGACCACCGCTGGAGCAGGAGGCGATGCGACCCTCGGGACCACCGCCGGAGCAGGAGGCGATGCGACCCTCGGGACCACCGCTGGAGCAGGAGGCGATGCGACCCTCGGGACCACCGCCGGAGCAGGAGGCGATGCGACCCTCGGGACCACCGCTGGAGCAGGAGGCGATGCGACCTTCGGGACCACCGCTGGAGCAGGAGGCGATGCGACCCTCGGGACCACCGCCGGAGCAGGAGGCGATGCGACCCTCGGGACCACCGCTGGAGCAGGAGGCGATGCGACCTTCGGGACCACCGCTGGAGCAGGAGGCGATGCGGCCTCGGGAGACTGCTGGTGATGGCGGCGACGTCTGTGGTGAGTGCGTCTCCTCGGAGGTGCGAGGATGACGTTGGCAGGAACAGGGGAGAAGGAGATGAAACCAGTTTGGATAGTCTGAGACGACTCAGGACGGGACAGGAGTGTAGGAGCTGAAGAGGGAGCATGTGGGCTGCAACAAGCATCTCGCAGATCGCCTGCGAAATCCCAAAAGTCCAGCTCCTCTATAGGATGTCGCTCGAGGTAACTGCTAGCCCATTGCAGGGCTCTTCCCCTTAGGCGGAGCACCATATTAATAACCAAGTCCCTGTCCAAAGCGTTCGGGCCATAAGATCTTGCAAAGTCCAAGATGAAAGTCCGACAGGTGTCCGGGTAACCATAAAAATTATACATCCACTGAGATGTGGGTGAAGCTGAAAGTTCTGCTGGGTCCTGGTGTGGTCGGTCCATTCTGTCACGTTTAGGAGCAGGAGGTTAGGACCCAAGATGCAGAACCCAGGATGACAAGAGGCAGGAGTGGATATGTAAGTAAAAATCCTTTATTTGGAGGAAGAACAAAAATAAATCCAAACGGCAGGGAGCCAAAATCCAAAAATCCAGGGAGTCAAAAAGCACAAGAGGGACGAGCAGACTGACAGAACAAATAACGCTGACAAACAACAATGGACCTACAAGAACAATGAGACAAGGAGAGCTTATATAGACAGGGAGGAGCAATTAGGGAAACAGGAAGCAGGTGTGTGGAGTGAGGCCTTAGGGAAGGCAGGTGACAGCAATTATCTGGATGGGGAAGAGAACCAGTGGAGGGCAGATAAACCTAACACTATGTAAAACACAAAACTAAACCTAAAGACTAAGGGAAGAACTCACACAAACACATACGACACACAAACTATGAACTGGGGAACAAGAGGCTGTGGCTATAACTTAAGACACACAACAGAGATGCAGACAAAGGACGCATGAGGGCGCTAAGAGAACACAAAAGGGAATCCAGAGAGTGATGGAGAAACATTAGGAGACACATGGGGAAAGACGCAGACAAAGGACACATGAGGGCGCTATGAAACACAAAAGGATAACCTGGCGTGGGAACTGGAGGGCTGGGGAACAAAGGGACACAGAACATGACAGTGGGAAATGTGACAATATTCAATTTTTGTGATTTGTCCCATCATACACTGTTCAAACTGACTTACGGCGCTGGGATGTTTGGAACTATTGAGAGCTCCATGAACCACGTGACCGCAAGTCAGCGAGTTCAAAGCATGTTGCAACTCTCTCTTTCTACAGCTCTGCTGTGGTGGCACTCAAAACGTTCATTTCATTTATTTATAAATCTCCTTCTGCGACCAATGCAGACGCCCAAGGTGCTGAACACAACACAATAAAAACATAAAACCATCAGAATAAAATATAACAATCGTAAAACCAACATAAAATCAATTAAAAGTGGAGAATAAAAGCAAGAAATAAAATCCTGAAAAAGATTAAGAGGCCGGGGCATCGAAACCGGGTAAAATTTGCTAATCCTGGAAGGCCTCGACAAAAAAATGGGTCTTAAGGCGAGTCTTAAAAACCCCCAATGAGGGTGACTGACGCGCCACCAAAGGCAACTGGTTCCAAAGTGCAGGTGCCAACACCGAGAATGCACGGTCCCCCCGTGACCTGCACTTAGTGCGTGGAATGATCATCAGCTCCCTGCCGGCTGAGTGAAGGGCCGGCGAGGGGGCATGCCTATGCAAAAGGTTGCCAAGATATACTGGAGCAGTTCCTTGTAAGGCCTTGTATGCCAGTACCAAGACCTTGAATTTTGCCCTGTATTGTACAGGCAGCCAATGAAGGGATGCCAACACAAGGGTGATATGTTCCCTGCGCCTAGTGCCTGTCACGAACCTAGCTGCTGAGTTTTGTACTAACTGCAAGCGTGCTACCGCACCCTGACTAACGCCGGCATACACGTTCCACTTTTGTCGGCCAATCAGAGGAAGTCCAATCGCACAGGGAGTTAAAGCCAAATCATTTACAAAGAGTGTGCCATTTCTATTTCTACTGGTATTTTAGTGGCACTATCGAGCACTAACGAGGGCTGCATTCCATTTAGAACAAGTTCTGATCTTTAGCGGAACAACCTGCGGCTGTGGAATCAGTAAGGAATGGGACGGCTTATATGGATGATAAAATGATTCACATTACAAGATGCTTAAAGTCCTTGAAAATGCTTGAATGTCCTTATGGTTGTAAAAGTGCTTGAACTGTGAATAAAGGGCTAGAAAATTAAACATGAATTTGTTTTAGAACATTGAAAAAAGAACGTGGAATAACGTTTGTTGAGCATTGATGTCTTTTTCGTGCTCGGGTAACTCGTCACCAATGTGAAAATCTGGAAAATTCTTGAAAGTGCTTAAAAAGATCTTCATGTTATAATCGGGAAAGCTGTTAGAAGCCTAAAATAAGCTTGCCTTTAATGTTTCAATTAGTTAGTTTAAACTTGGATCACCAGGTTGCATCTAAAATAATGACAGGAGTGTTTTTAAATGTTCACTAAGATAAAGGTTACTGAGAAGTTAAATCATGGCAGATGACGAGCAAAAAAACCTTTTCTTAATACAGAAAAAAATATGTCCAACAAACACAGTCTACAGTTTGTGTGAAACAACTTTATTAGACCAATATGTTTTAGCTGAAAAGAAAAGCCAGATGTCAGTTGGGTTTGGAGGGTTTATTTGTCTGCTTGCAAAGGTGTTTTATTTCCCCAAAAGGCACCCTTTATTTCACTTGGCTCATTGATTTTACTGTGACATCACACAAGTCCAGTGTTATTTCCTGGTCTTAGTATCCATAGAACATTTCCTTGTATTTCATCATCCAAACAC